AAATGCACATTTGCGCTGTGTTTCGCTATTGTTTCAGTATTCAGCACTAAGAGATAGCTTGCCGAAGTATTCAGAAAAGCACCTTCATCTATTGCTTTCCCCTAAACCGACCTCCGAGCAGAGGTGAAATGCTGGGGCCTGCTGACCTTCATACAATGTCAGGCTTCCTTAGATCGCTTCAACAAGAGCTAGCAGCAGTGCTCTGACCTTCAGCGGCGCAGTCCCGGAGAATCGGCGGGGACAAGCCTCGCCGTTTCAGAGCAGGCAGCGGAGAGCTAGCGCTCCAGCACTGACCTTCACCCAAGGCCTCTCTCGGGCAGTACTGCACTGAGCTCGAGAACCCTCCTCGAGGCCCCATCTCTAGACAGCAACGAGGTCAGCACCTCCCCTGCACCGCCCTGCACGGTCCCGCACGGCTGGCGAGCAACAAGGCCCTTGCGCCGCCTCCCTGCCCAGCCCGAGCAGCCAACGGTGCAAGATGGCGGCGCCCGCCAGCCCCTCACCCTCCTTGCAGAAAGAGCTCTCGAGTCAGCACACCACCAGCCCCCTGCAGGGCCACATCCCTCCCGCCGGCTGTCCGCACTCACCAGCCCGGCCCGCCTAGGAAGGGCGCGGGCCACGGCCGCAGCGACGCGCACAGACAGCATCTTTACAGCTTTCTTTAGGGTGGCTCCTCTGCAGCTGCAGCCTCCGGACTGACTGGGACAAAATGGCTGAGCGGCGAGGAAGGTCAAGGCAGCCGGGCCACCTGACCCGGAAGTACCGCCCCTCACGTTCACCTCCGGACGCGAATCTGCCTTTTGGAGGAAGATTGAGGGTGGAGTTACTTTTTTTTTTTAATATTGTTTTTAGATTTTAACTTAAAATGAGTGATTAGACCTTTGCCAGCTTCGGTTCAGGCGTTCGTCACATATTTATTTTGGCCTACTGAATCGGCTTTACGGTTGCCCCTGGCGACCAAGTGGGTAGCAGAACCCGCTATGATGCGGCTCTCAGGAGGGGTCCTCACAGGGAGACGGTGTCGGAGTCACCTTGTACCAGGCGCCGTTGGTTTGAAGGAGACAGGAGGTTGATGATGTGGGGTCTCAGACTACAGCTGTTAAAAGCCTTGGTGCTGTAGCAAGAATAAACAATTATCACCCTGGGCCTGCCGAGCTGGTTAGTGTGAAGGTCGCTGGCCCCATCCCCAGACCCTCTTATAAAAGTCGAAAATTTGGAGGAACCCAAATTTTCGAAAGGCACCCACACCATTCTAGGGGATCCATTACACACTCAAGGTGGAAATTCGCAGTTCTTTGAGATTCTATCTGGATGGATTCTATATATTAGAACAATTTTTTTTAATGGTAACAAACAAGGAATTCACAAAGAGTGATTGCCAATTCTACTGAGAGTGGTCCAGAATCAGACGTCTCACCCCAGACTGGACTAGGATTCAAGCTTTCCTTTACCAGCAACTAGTTTCATGGCAACAGGGACTATGCTTTTAAATTTGGAATAAAATGGAAATGATGAAGAAAAACCCTTTCCTATACCTACACATTAGGATTGGGGCAGGAGGGGTGCCTGGGTGGCTCAGACGGTTAAGCGTCGGACTTCGGCTCAGGTTATGATCTTGCGGTCTGTGGGTTCGAGCCCCACATAGGGCTCTGTGCTGACAGCTCAGAGCCTGGAGCCTGTTTCAGATTGTGTCTCCCTCTCTGCCCATCCCCAGCTCCTGCTCGCTCGCGCGCGCTTTCTCTCTCTCTCTCTCTCAGAAATAAACGTTAAAAAAAAAAAAAAAGATTGGGGCAGGTACGCCTGGGGGGCTCTGTTGGTTAAGCATCTGACTTTGGCTTAGGTCATGAACTCACAGTTTGTGAGTGTGGGTTCTAACCCAGTGTCAGACTCCTTGAGCCTCGTTTTCAGAGTCTGGAGCCTACTTCAGATTTGTGTCTCCCTCTTTCTCTGCCCCGCCCCCAGCTAGTTCTCTCTCTCTCTCTCTCTCTCTCTCTCTCTCTCTCTCTCTCAAAAATAAACACTAAATAGGGGCGCCTGGGTGGCTTAGTCGGTTAAGCGTCCGACTTTCGCTTAGGTCATGATCTCGTGGTTCGTGGGTTCGAGCCCCGCGTCGGGCTCTGTGCTGACTGCCAGCTCGGAGCCTGGAGCTTGTTTCAGTCTGTGACCCCCTCTGTCTCTGACCCTCCCCTGCTCACGCTGTCTCTCTCTCTCACCTAGAAATAAATAAAAAAATATTTAAAAAAAAACACTAAATAAATATTTTACATATAAAGATGGGGACAGAACTGGGGCACCTGGGGTGCCCTCCTGTCACTTAAGTGGCTCAGTCCATTGAGTGTCTGACTTCCACTCAGGTCATGATCTCGTGGTTGGTAGAATCCAGCTCTGTGATGACAGCGAGGAGCCTCCTTAGGATTTTCTCCCTCTCTCTGCCCCTCCCCTGCTCCAGCTTATTTGGGCTTCCTCTATCTATCTCCTTTTCAAAATAACTAAACATTACAAAAAAAAAATTGGGTCAGAACTAGCCCCACACATACACACACAGAATTTTTATTGAGATTTTTGTGATATGAACAGAATTGGGGGGGTAGATATTGGGTATTTTGTAATAGTAAAACTATTAATATTGCCTTCACTTGTAAGTGTTCTAAGGAGCATCTTTCAGCTTCATTCACCAAATCCTGATTTACACCTAAAACATTAATTTGGGTGGAGTATATGAATATCTGGGTCAAGAGTCATTTCCTAAAAGATGGCTTGCAAATGTATGATCAGCAATCCCTTTCCCTAAAATTCTACTCTATTTTCAAGGTGAGCATCCTTCTCCTCATAAGTAATAGTAGGCTAACACACACACAGAAAATTGGTTTGTAGAAACAACAAAGTTGGAGGGTTATTTTGTGAAATGTGTAGTGATGAAAGTGGACAAAAGGCATAAAGATAACTTTCCCCCACATATTCAGAGGCTATACCAACCTACCAGAAATTTGGTTACTGAGCAGAGATATATTTGACTAAAACAAAAAGAATAAACAAGCCATACAATATGGTATTGGCTAGTTAGTAAAATTTCTTTGAAAAGCAAGGTTTCATCATGTTAAATACGCACACAACCTAGAAGAAAGATATTTAGTGCTAAACCACATATATCAGACAGTTGAGTACACAGTCTACCTTTGCTGATGTAACAGTATACTACAGGAGGTTGCAGGCAGCAGTGTGGTCTAATTAGCTTTCAAAGATAAACACTTAATCAAACACAGAACATTATGGTCAGATTCTAGCTTCTACTACCCAATCTTGGTCAAGTCATTTAATCCACGTGTGTGTGTGTGTTTCAACATGAAAATAGGTAAAATTTGTTCATCTATTTTTACCAGCCCTTGTAAAAATGAAATAAAAGGGCACCTGGATGGTTCAGTTGCCTGACTTTGGCTGGGGTCATGATCTCATGGTTCATGTGTTCAAGCCCTACATTGGGCTTTTTGCTGACAGCTCAGAGCCTGGAGCCTAGTTCAGATTTTTTTTGTCTTTCTCTCTCTGCCCCTCCCCTGCTCACACTCTGTCATCTCTCTATCTCTCTCAAAATTAAGTGAACATTAAAAAAGAAAACTTTAGGGGCGCCTGGGTGGCTTAGTCGGTTAAGCGTCCGACTTTCACTTAGGTCATGATCTCGCGGTTCGTGGGTTCGAGCCCCGCGTCTGGCTCTGTGCTGACTGCCAGCTCAGAGCCTGGAGCCTGTTTCAGTCTGTGACTCCCTCTCTCTCTGACCCTCCCCTGCTCACGCTGTCTCTCTCTCCTAGAAATAAATAAAACATTAAAAAAAAAAAAAAAAAAAGAAAACTTTAAAAAAAATGAAACTAAAATAGGAAAACACATAGAAAACTATATATTGCTGTATAAATATAGAGAACCTCTCATAGTGTCAAATAGAGTGAAGGATGAAGGGAGAATTTTAGGCAAGGCAAGAAATGATGGAAGAATGACTAAACAGCAGTGACAGTGTCAGAAATTGGCTCCTGTCAACTGTTTTATTCTTTTTTTTAAAGCAAATTTTCTTCCTTTTTTAAAATAAATGTTTATATATTTTGAAAAAGCGTGAGTTTGCATGAGTAGGGGAAGAGCAGAGGAGGAGGGTGAAAACAGAGAATCCTAAGCAGGTACCACACTTAGTGCAGAGCCCAATGGGGGGCTCATCCCACCACCCTGGGATTATGACCGGAGCTGAAATCAAGAGTCTGAAGCTCAACTGACTGAGCTACCCAGGCGCCCCAGCTGTCAACTGTTTTAAAATAGCCTCCAGCACGTATAGCTCTTTGGTAGTGAAAACTAAAGGATAAGATTAAGATTGCTGCAGCTCATATTGTTAGGGTAAAATAAAAATTTTAACTTAATGCATTCCGTGTGAAAGAAACAAATATCAGCTATCCAAAAAACAAGTTTCAGGTTTTTATTTTTTAAGACAAATGATTCAAGTCAGAAATAAAAATATCAGGAAAAAAAACAGGCTGATTCTAGGCAGGTGTACTTCTCATCCAGGAAATGATAATCCGAGAGCAGAGAGAGCAGCGAAGCGGCAAAGGAAGAGAGGTTCTGATGCTGGAGTCTTCCACCAGCCTGGCCCAAAAACTCAGAGGTCCAGAGTCCTAGTAGAAAACTACAACTCCCAGGGGCGCCTGGGTGGCTTAGTCGGTTAAGCGTCCGACTTTCGCTTAGGTCATGATCTCGCGGTTCGTGGGTTCGAGCCCCGCTTCGGGCTCTGTGCTGACTGCCTGCTCAGAGCCTGGAGCCTGTTTCAGTCTGTGACTCCCTCTCTCTCTGACCCTCCCCTGCTCACGCTGTCTCTCTCTCTCTCTCTCTCTCTCTCCTAGAAATAAATAAAACATTTTAAAAAAATAAAAAAAAAAAGAAAAAAAGAAAACTACAACTCCCAGAAACCCTGGGCCCAGAAGGGACGGGAGCAACGGTGTGTGGGCGGGGCCTCCGGAGGGAGCCGAGTCCTTCTCCCGCGAGGAGCTTCTCTCCAAGTGGCGGGAGCCGCGGCTATGGAAGGACAGGAAGAGAAAGCGGCGCAGGTGATGGGGGCTGGAGCGGGGATTTGCGGCCTCCTGGAAACGGCATCTTTGGCAGCACACTCCCGGCCCTAGGATCTCGTGGGCGCACTATTTCTACTTTTGTCCTCCCCTTGCTCCGCGGGTCCATCTTTCTAAAGTCCGCCGTGACGGTCTGGGAGCCCGACTCCGCTTAGACCCCCCGAGAAAGGGCGTTTACCTTCCTTCCCCGGCCTCTCCTGGCTTGGACTTGGGCTTGGACAGCGGTTGAGGAGCCCCGTGCTAGGAGATCCCTCTCAGCGGACTAGAGTGGGACTTCCGAATCCAAACCCGCCTTACAGACGAGCTTCACCGTTCACCGCTGCTTCCTAGTAGGATTTTCACACCTGACCTCAGCCTGCATCCCAACTCTAGGTGCCTCCCAGAACAACGGGGCTTTTGGTGTGTTGGGGCCAACTCTTTTTTTTCAGACTTTTCACGTATAATAATGCCTGAACACCTTCATATTGAGCTTTAAAATTATTCGAGTGATGCAGATTGTTAGCATATACAGCTTTGTAGCTTTAGGAAAAGATGGATTGTTTTACGGTAATTTTTTCTTTGTGCTTGCTCACTTTTGTCCCCAGAGTCTGGTATTTTATCTCCGTAAAAACAAAGTATAATGTGAAATAAATGGGATGTCAGAATATTTCTACGACACATTTTGTTTGCTTCTCCTCACTCCTTTCGAATATTTCCTTCATGCTATTACAATAAACAAGATTTATAATCTTTGTCTTTCTTTTAATGGTTAGGTTGCTGCATGGTTGAAAAAAATATTTGGAGATCACCCCATTCCGCAATATGAGGTGAATCCTCGGACCACGGAGATTTTACATCACCTTTCAGAACGCAACAGACTCCGGGACAGGGATGTCTGCCTGGTAATAGAGGACTTGAAACAGAAAGCAAGCGAATATGAATCAGAAGGTAAGATTAGTAACAGTATTTTGAAAGAGATAATAACTTGAGATGACTATATTTTATATATAATGCTAAAGTATATAAGATTTAGTTTAACGTAGACTGCTTGTTAGTTTTGCTTCTTTATTTTACCCAGATTTGCCTCCCATTCTGTTATAACAACTTAATATGCAATAAATTTCGTTATAATGTAAATTTAATTGGTACACTGATAGCACAACAGTAACCCCTAAAACATGAATCTAAACTTAGCCTGACATACAAGATGCCTGTGGTTTTTCACTTACATATCTTTTTGATCTGTTTCTAGTCTCCATGCTTTAGTTATAATGAGCCATTGGGACATCTGAGGTTGCAGCCATGAACTGTGAGACTTGAACAAGTCACACTATCACTATGTATGCTATGCCTATGTAGCTTGAAAAAGTGTATTTGGGAAACCTGTTGTTTTTATAATACTAACCACACACACAATTGATAAAAATCTATAGGTCAGAATATACGAAAGAAGTGAGACCTGCAATTCCGCTGTATTTAACTAACTTATGTATGTGGCATGTGTTACATGCAATGTTTTGAATGTAGTGCAATTTATATTGTAACTCTACTATGTATGGGCTTTTTTCCAGCTTTTTTTTTTTAAAGTTAACATACAGCAAAATTGATTTTTTGTTTTGGTATACTGCTTTTAGAATATATTTTACATTTCTATGACCCAACATACTTTGGATGCATATTATGTTATACAATTGCTTTTTTTTTTTTTTTAATATTTTTTATTTATTTCTAGGAGAGAGAGACAGCATGAGCAGGGGAGGGTCAGAGAGAGAGGGAGACACAGACTCTGAAATAGGCTCCAGGCTCTGACCTGGCAGTCAGCACAGAGCCTGACGCGGGGCTCGAACCCACGAACCGCAAGATCATGACCTAAGCGAAAGTCGGACGCTTAACCGACTAAGCCACCCAGGCGCCCCAATTGCTTTTTAAATCAGGAGAAAAAAATATGCATTTATACTCTTTATAATTTAGCCACCTTTCCTGGTGTTCATCGTTGTTTTCGTGAGCGTTCGAATTATTGGTTGGGATCTCTTGCTTTTATCCTGCAGAACTTACTCTAGTATTTCTTACAAGTCAGGACTGCTAACAACAAATTCTCTCAGCTTTTGCCTATCTGGGAATCTTTATTTGCACTCATGTTTGAAAAGATAGTTTTGTTAGATGTAGGATTTTCTCTTGACAGTTTTTCTCTTAGAACACTTTGACTATGTTATCCCATTGCTTTCTGGCCACCATGGTTTCTGCCAAGAAGTCCACTGTTAATCTTATTGGGGTTTCCTCGTAAATAACAAGCCCTTTTTCTTTTGCTGTTCTCAAGAGTGTCTCCTTATCTTTTACTTGAACATTTTTATTTTGATATGTATGCTTGTTGATCTCTCTGCATTTATCTTACTTGGATTTGTTGAGTTGAGTTATTTGTTGAGTTATTCCTTGGGTGTGTAGATTATTGTTTTTCAATAAATATGGGAACTTTTCAGGTATTATTTGACTATTTTTCTCCTTTTTTTCCCTCTTTCCTCATTTTTCTGACGCTCTTTTATTTTTCACGTTTTTTTTTTAAATTTTATTTTTAGAGAGAACACACAGCAGGGGAGAGGGGCAGAGGGAGACAGAGACAGAGAAAGAAAGAGGCTCTATCACTCAGCAAGAAGCCTGATGTGGGTATCAATCCCACGACCGTGGGTCATGACCTAAGCGGAAATCAAAAGTCAGATGCTTAACCAACTGAGCGACCCAAGCATGCCCACTTTTTTCCTCTCTGTTCTTTAGCTTCCATAATCTCTATCACTTTATCTTCAAGTTCACTAATTATTTATTCTGGTACTTCAAATCTATTGTTTGTTTTCTCTAGTGAACTTTTCATTTTAGTTATTGTACTCTTCAACTCTGGAGTTTCCATTTACAATTTCTATCTCTTTTTGATATTTTCTATTTGATACAACATTGTCCTTATAGCTTTTGTTACTTCTTTAATCATGGTTTCCATTCGTACTGTGAACATGTTTATTATGGCTATTTTTTTTTAATGTTTTATTTATTTCTGAGAGAGAGAGAGAACACACGAGCAGGGGAGGGTCAGAGAGAAAGGGAGACACAGAATCTGAAGTGGGCTTCAGGCTCCAAGCTAGCCGTCAGCACAGAGTCCGATGCAGGACCCAAACCCATGAACCGTGTGATCATGACCTGAACTGAAGTTGGACGCTTAACCGACTGAGCCACCCAGGCGCTCCTATTATGGCTATTTTTAAGTCTTTTTCTGACAAATCCAACATCTGGTCATTCTGACAGGTAGTTTCTTTTGCTTGCATTTTACCATGGGCCATCCTTTCACGTTTTGCATGCCTATATATTTTTTGTTGGACACTGGACATTTTAGATAGTGTATTGTAGCCACCCTGAGTACTAGTCTCTCAACACCCACAGCGTCCCAGAGCTTGTTGTCTTTGTTGTTTTTGTATTTGCTTAGTGACTGACTCTTTTTAATGACGTCTATTTACCCCTGTTAAGCCTCTGATGTTACCCCTCAGGGAGCCACATACTTAAGTATTCCCACAGTCACTCTGAGACGTCAGTGGTTTTGGTAGGACTGTCTTACTCTCTTTCATAGACCACATCCAGGTGTAAAATTCCGCTAATTGACATCTGATTTTTGTTTTCAACAATGCTGTGGGACACAAATTGTTCTACAAGCTAATTCAAATTCTGGCACCCTTAAAGGAATAGTTTTGGAGGGCAGTGTTTGATATTTGTTGTGACCCAAGGATGGCTCTTCCTAGATGTCTAATTTTCAGGTTCTCCCATGTAAACTAACTAGCCCACAGTTTAACCTGTGTCTTGACTCTTCTCTCAATTGCTTTTTACTATAACTTCCATTGTTCTTGAGAATCTCCTTAGGCTTGGACTTCTCCAGGCTCTGTTGCAAATGAACTCAGCTCCTTTGGGAAGATACATGGGAATTATCTTTTTTTTTTATGTATTTATTTATTTCTGAGAGAGAGAGAGACAGCATGAGCAGGGGAGGGTCAGAGAGACGGAGACACAGAATCTGAAGCAGGCTCCAGGCTCTGAGCTAGCTGTCAGCACAGAGCCCGATGCGGGGCTTGAACCCACAAACCGTGAGATCATGACCTGAGCCAAAGTTGGACGCTTACCCCACTGAGCCACCCAGACGCCCCAGGAATTATCTCTTCTATGGCTTTGTTCTTCCTCTGCACAAAATCTCTGAGCCAGTGATGAGCTGAGGGTGGAGAGAATAGCAAGCTTTTCTCTGAGTGACACCCCAGGGTAGATGCTGAGTGCTGAGTGGACGGGGGAGTGCAGCAGCAGACTTAGGTCCTCTTGGCTTGACTTTCCTGGTGTGGAATCGCCACCTCATGAGCTGGTGCAAGGGGCCTCAGGGCCCCAGTATTCTCACCATAGTAGAAGCTCACCCAAGTTAGAATTTGATTCTAAGAACAGTGACCGGCTGGAGAGAGCCCACACCTCTCATCCACATTCACCTAGGACTTAGTCTCAGCAACAGATAGCTGGTGGCAGGATGAGAAATACTGAAGTCGTGTTCATCCTGGAAAGAAAGCCCTCTGTCTGGGAGCTGGGGGCAGAGGGGTCCCTGGGTTCTTGACTACAATAGTCTGGAGTAGAGCCTCTGCCTCGCTAAAGTGGGAGGGAGAAGGAAAATGGTCTTGGTTTAAATATCATAAGCTCTCACCTTCCTTACTGAGTTTTCATAGATTTTCTTGCCTAGATGTTTCTTCATTTGCTGATTGTTCTTAGGACCATTTCCAGAGGCTTTAAATCATTGTGTTTTAGATCTGATTTTGTTTTTGTGCTTTTACATGGTTGGGTTTCTTTTTTTGTTTTTTACAATTTTCACCACTTTCACTGGACAACAGATATGCAGAGATCCTTGCCCTATTAGACTGGGAGTCTTAACACCTGGTCTGTTGATGTTTTTTGTTTTGTTTTGTTTTAATATTTTAGTTTTAAGTAATCTCTACACCCAACGTGGGGCTCACACATAACCCCGAGATCAAGAGTTGCATGCTCCATCAAGCAAGCCAGACAGGCACCCCTGGTCTGTTGATTTTTTGACAAGGGTAACAAGACAATTCAGTGGAGGAAAAAAAGTAGCATTTTCAATGACTAGTGCTAAGATAACTGGATATCCACATGTACAAGAATGAGGTTGGACGCTGCCTCATACTATATAAAAGAATTAACTCAAAATCAACGAAAAACCTAAATGTAAGAGCTAAACCTAAAACTCTTAACACGATATCAGTGCATATTTTTGTGACCTTGAATTTGGCAATGGTTTCTTAGCTAAAAGTCCCTAAATCCAAACAATAAAAGAAAAAGATAAATTGAACATCATCAGAATTAAAACTTTTGTTCTCAAAGGACACTGTCAAATAAATGAAAAAACAACCTACAGAATGGGAGGAAACATTTGCAAATCATATCTGATGAGGGACCTGTATCTATAACATATAAAGAACTCTTACAACTCAGTAATAAAAAGACAAATTATCCAATTAAAAATGGGAAAGGGAACGTGAATATGTATCTCTCCCAGAAGATATAAAAATAACCATTAAGCCACCATTATTAGCCATCAGGGAAATGCAAATGAAAACAATTCCTTTTCACAGCTACAAGGAGGACTGCTATTAAAAAGAAAAATATTCTGGTCTTAAGTTGATGATTTATTAAGTTCTGTGAATGATCACTATGCAAAAAAAAAAAAAGACAAATAATAGCAAAACAAACAAAAATTGTTGGTGAAGATATGGAGAAATTGAAATCCTCATATACTTCTGGAGGAATGTAAAATCATATGGTCCCTTTGGAAAATAGTCTGGCAATTCCTCAAATGGGTAAATATAGTTACCATATGACCACCAGGTCCACTCCTAGGCATATATCCAAATATGAAAAAAAGACAAAACGTAGATTAGTGGTTGCTAGTGCTTCATGGGTTGGGGAATTGGAATATGATAACTAAGAAATGTGGGGTTTCTTTTTGGGGTGATGAAAATGTTCTAAAATTGATTGTACTGATGGGTGCACAACTTTGGGAATATACTAAAAAAGCTTTTGAATTGTACACTATAGGTGAGTGGATTATATGCTATGTGATGAGTTTTTAAGAAAGCTGTTAAAAATTAAAACAAACATCTTAGTCTCCATATAACTCTTATATCTTTTCAGCCAAGCATCTTCAAGACCTTCTCATGGGAAGTGTGAATTTTTCCCCTGCCAATCTGTCTGACGCTGGTTCTAGGTACCTGAATGCTTTGGTTGACAGTGCAGTGGCCCTTGAAACAAAGGATTCCTCACTAGCTAGGTAATTCTTATGACAGTTTTCATTTCTGTAATCATATATACTATAAAGTCTCAACTAAGGACTTTTTGTTTGACTGGGTAATTCCACATAGGAAATTAATGATAAATCCAATAACACTGAATTTACTTAACTCCTTCTTATCATTACTAGTAAATGTATGTGTTTAATTTAGATAAACTTGACATTGTTTAAATTTTAGTGTTGTCTTCTTTCAGGATTAGGTTTGTGAAGGTTGCTTCTCATGTATGTTTGGAAAGAAATTAGGTAACACTTAAACTGTTCCCTGTAAACAGAAAAGCAGTAGCCTAAATTATCTTATTGAGCATGGTGAATTTTGGTCACTATGGGTAGATTACAAACCTTTATTCTTTATGATGGGCTTTCCACTTATATAATGACATTATTCTTTCCAGCAACCGTAAGAGGAACCTAAGCTCAGGAGTGGTATATTAAATAACTTCTCCAAGCTGGTAAAAGGTGGCTTTGGGATTCAAACCCAGTCTGACTCCAAAGTCCATATAATTGTCATTGGTGGCCATATCTTAGCTAGGACTCCCACTATAACTTATAATCAGAGAACTGTATAGCTATTATACTTAAATGCCCATATAAGGACTTGGAATTTATATATAGGCTCAGAAAGTAGTGTTTCAGGTATAAGAACATAAGAAACCTAAACTTGAATTAAGTCAATTCAGCAGACACCAAATACCAGTTATATGCTAGGCATATAGCCATATATATGTATAGGCAGTGGGGAAGCAGAGATGAATAGGATAATAATTGTCAACGAGAACAGTCTCTGCTCACAGTCAAATAAGGGAGATGGGTATGTAAAACTGTAGCATACTGTGACATCTTTAACAGTACAAGAATGTACAAACTGTTGATAAGTAGCACAGAGAAAGGGGTAGTGAGTTTCAGAAAGGGAGTAAATCTTATTTGAATTTTAAAAGACAAATGGAAATTTGCCTGAAGAAGGGCTTTCCGGGCAATGGGAACAGCATATAAAAAATGCATAGAGGAGTGCCTAGGTGGCTCAGTCAGTTGAACATTTGACTTCAACTCAGGTCATGATCTCCCAGTTCATGAGCTTGAGCCCCATGTCAGGCTTTGTGCTGACAGCATCGAGCAGGCTTTGGATTCTCTCTCTCTCTTCCTGCCCTGCCCCTCCCCCACTTACATGTACACTTGCTCTTTCTCTCTCAAAAACAAACATTAAAAAATTTCTTAATTGAAAAATGCATAGAGGCATGAAACTACGTGATTATAGAAGAATCCATATTAATATAAAATCATTGTTAGAAATGAGAAATAATTGTCATTATTGTCCTTTATATCCGTTTATATGACCAGATCCTTTCTTTAGTTTTATTCCTGCAGTGAATGATTTGACGTCTGATCTTTTCCGTACCAAATCCAAAAATGAAGAAATCAAGCATGAATTGGCAAAACTTGAAAAAAATCTAACTGCAACTTTAGTGTTAGAAAAATGTTTACGAGAGTAAGTAACTGAGTTGGAAGTGGTGATGATGTTTGTTATACAGGCAGTAACAGGACCTTGTCAGATTTAGTTTTGGCAGTAGACAGGATTTAAACCAACACATTAGGAACTGGAGTCCATAAATGGTTTTCTAAGTAAAAAATGACTTGGGTAGAGGTAGGGGTTGGGTACAGATCATCTTTTACTTCATATAGTTTCTTACCTTTTTTTCTCTTTTATAAATAACCTGGGTTTTGGGGCACCTGGGTGACTCAGTTAGTTAAGCGTCCAACTTTAGCTCAGGTCACGATCTCCTGGTTTGTGACTTTGAGCCCCACATTGGGCTCTGTGCTGACAGCTCAGAGCCTGGAGCCTGCTTAGGAGTCTGTGTTTCCCTCTCTCTCTCTGCCCCTCCCCATCTCAAACTCTGTTTCTCTCTCTCTCAAAAATAAATAAACATTAAAAAATACTTTTTAAAATAATAAATAGATAGCCTGGGTTTTATAATATTGAAAATGTATGTGAATTTTTCTTTTTAACTTATAAGCCATGGTGCAGCCTAAAATCACATTATGTTTGGTTGCCCCAGAGTTTAGATGCTGTAGATCAGGAGTGTGGATATGCACAAGTAATTTGGTGGGGTGTAAATTTTCTTACAAATACTAAATGTGTATACACAAGGCACTGTATCATGTCACATTTAGGAAAGAGGGCTTTGGAACTTCCATAAGTTAAATTGGCTTTAGAATATATTAAATCACTTTTTTAAGCAACAGGTTTACTTTCTCCAAGAATAATTGGCATAGATTAATCTTAAAATTACTTAGCATTCCATGAGAAAAATCTCAGATGGCAACACGGAGGGGAGGAGGACCTGGAAGAGCACACGGTAGCTAGTCTGGGATATAAAATCTATGATAGAAAAGCTAGCAAGTATGGTGTCTGTTTTTGGCTAATCCAGAGTTTCTTTTTTAAATAATTCCACTGAGGAAAGAGAGAAAATGTTTTCAACTATACTTTTTAAAGGGATCTAAAGAAGGCAGAGTTGCATCTGTCTACGGAAAGGGCCAAAGTTGACAATCGTCTTCAGAACATGGATTTCCTAAAAGCAAAGTCGGAGGAGTTCAGACTTGGAATCAGAGCTGCAGAGGTTTGTATAAAGGACTGAATATATTTAGTTCTTTTCAGACATCTTGTCGACCTTCATCCTCACAACTAGGCAGTATTCTTACCTTTTTACAGATAAGGGAACTACGGAGAAGATAGGTAACTTATCCAAGGTCACAGAGCTGCTTAACAGTGAATCCAGATTGTAACACAGACAGCTAGGGCCCAAAGCCCAGGGGCCCCGACTCTTAGCACTGCACCCATCTTGTCACAAATCTGTGACTGTTTGAAATGACCCACATGCAGCATAGAACTGTTTAGATGCGTGTAGTCTTTCATCTATGATTTGTAGCTTCTCTTTACCATGTTATATGATGAAAATATTTCATGGTGGTTACTTTTGAAATACTTTTTTTCACTGAACTCCCTTTTTTGTAATTATAGGAGCAGCTTTCCGTCAGAGGCATGGATGCTTCTCTGTCTCACCAGTCCCTGGTAGCCCTCTCAGAGGTGAGCTGATTTTAACCCAATTTAGCTTTCTTTAGAATCTTAGCACACAATCTGCCTTTTCATTTGCTTCTTTTTATGGAGCTTTGTTCACTACTGACCTGTTTTTCTTTACCTCTCTACTTTATGTTCACTCGTATTTATACCTTTATTACATAGCTAGCTGTATCTATCCTCACATTTGTTTGGTTTCCTTTATTTACTACTATGTGCTAGTGAAAGTCTTTGCTAGAGTCAGTTATATATTACTGACTTATTTATAAAATAAATTTATTGAGGGATTATGTGCTAACCCTCTAGGTCCTCTTCTTCTCTTTCCATGTATGGTAAAAATGCAGGCCCCCAAACTCCTAGAGGATGCAATTCTAGGTTTTTAGGTTGTGTAAGTGTTTCATGTATTTTAGTAGGAAGAGGGAGAAAGGGGCTTTATTTTATTTTATTATTATTTGTATATTCCTTTTTAAAAAAAATTTTTTAATGTTTATTTGTTTTTGAGAGACAGAGACAGAGTGCAAGTAGGTGAGGGGCAGAGAAAGAGCGAGACGCAGAATCCAAAGCAGGCTCCAGGCTCCGAGCTGTCTGCACAGAGCCCGATGCGGGGCTTGATCCCACAAACAATGAGATCATGATCTGAACCACCCAGGCGCCCCATATTCTTAACATTTTTTTTATTATTTATTTATTTATTTTTAATTTTTTAAAAATGTTTTTTATTTATTTCTGAGAGAGAGAAACAGCGTGAGCAGGGGAGGGTCAGAGAGAGAGGGAGACACAGAATCTGAATCAGGCTCCAGGCTCTGAGCTAGCTGTCAGCACAGAGCCCGATACGGGGCTCAAACCCACGAACTGTGAGATCGTGACCTGAGCTGAAGTCGGACGCTTAAGTCTGACTGAGCCACCCAGGCACCCCTCTTAAGATTTTTTATACTTTGATTTTTGGAATTTAAAACTGACAATTCATAAATATGTATTTGAGATTCTAATTGTTCCCTTACGTTCTGATTCCTCTTAATCACATTATTCTGTCTTCCTAGACAGCATACTTAGATCCTATTCTTTCTGTTTTTAAGATTTTATTTATTTTTAATTTATTTTTTAATTTTTTAAAGATTTATTTTGAGAGAGACAGCAAGAGAGCAGGGGAGGGGCGGAGAGAGAAGGAGAGAAAGAATCCCAAGCAGGCTTTGTACTGTCACCACAGAGCCCGACGCGGGGCTCGAAGTCAGGAACCATGAGATCATGAGCCAAAATCAAGAGTCAGACACTTAACTGACTGAGCCACCCAGGCACCCCTAGGGATTTTATTTTATTTAAAAAAAAATTTTTTTTTATTAATGTTTTTTATTTATTTCTGAGAGAGAGAGACAGCATGAGCAGGGGAGGGTCAGAGAGAGAGGGACATACAGAATCTGAAGCAGGCTCCAGGCTCTGAGCTAGCTGTCGGCACAGAGCCCCACGCGGGGCTTGAACCCACCAACTATGAGATCGTGACCTGAGCCAAAGTCAGACACTCAACCAACTGAGCCACCCAGGTGCCCCTAGAGATTTTATTTTTAAGTCCTCTCTACACTCACTGTGGGGCTCAAACTTAAAACCCTAGGATCAATAGTTGCATGCTTTACTCCCTGAGCCAGCAGGTGCCCTACTCACATCCAATTCTTAGTAAATGGGAGTACAGCTTTTCTCTTTTAAGCATCTAATAACGATTGTTTCCATTGAAAGTGAGTTTGTTATTCATATATTTTTTAATTTAATTTAACATATTGATACAATTTGGTATATTATTTAAAATAGGTTAATGTTAATGCTTTATTATGTTTTATTTCAGAAATGAGCAGTGTTTAGTTGCATTACAATATCTCTATCACTCTGTGACTCTCGAATTTTTTCCACCCCCAGAAACTGGCAGAACTAAAACAACAGACTATACCTTTGAAGAAAAAATTGGAATCCTATTTAGATTTAATGCCGGTAATTATCTTTATGAATTAAAAAAAGTCTTGTCTAGCTTTCCACAAGGGTACTAAATGATCATGAAAATGCTGGGTTCACGTTTAAGGATTTCAAGTCTGTGCTAAGTTTCAGCGCTGTGTGGACACTGGATACACTCTCTGTAAGGTGTTTTGCCTTTTGAAAAAGACTGTTGCACTTTTTCTCCTTGAGTCCTAGTTGAAGCCATATAACCTTTCCTTGTTTTATTTTTCTTTAAAAGAATCCGTCGCTTGCTCAGGTGAAAATTGAAGAAGCAAAGCGGGAACTAGTAAGTAGTTCCAGTTTTTTTCTTCCTATTTTTTAAGAAGAAAGAAAAAAACACTGATATAGCTAAAGCTCCCTCTGCCCTTATTTCCTTTCTACTCCAAGGTAAACCACAGTCCCAAAGCTATTGTGTGTCATTAACATGCATTTTTTAAAATGCTTTTTTGGATATGTGTATGTATTTCTTGCCATAAAAAATACATAGTGATCTTTTATGTCTTTTAAATTTTTTTCATAGATTTTCCTGGTTGGAAAAGGGGGATTGTGAGACAGGATATTCTTTTTTTTTTTTTTTTAAAGTTTATTTACTTATTTTGAGAGAGACAGAGACAGAGAGAGCAAGCAGAGAAGGAGCAGAAAGAAGAAGAGCGAGAATCCAAAGCAAGCTGTTAGCATGGAGCCCAACCCAGAGCTCAATCTCACGAACCATGAATTTGTGACCTGAGCTTAAACCAAGAGTCCATTGCTTAACCAACTAAGCCACCCAGGTGTCTCCAGACAGAGTATTCTAATCAAAAGAATTAACAAAGGTGTATGAGCTGAAAAATGGAGGACTTTTCCACGCTTTGGCAAGTGATGTGGCCTAGCTGTTTAGGGGTATGCAATGGACATTAAGGCTAAAGAAGGTCAACTGGATTATGATATAAACGAACTTAAATATAAAGGGAGTTGAACTTGGAGGCTGTATGGGACCACTCAATGTTAATGTTGCTGTGTGTTTCTATAATTTTCTAAGCTAAAGAGAAATGAAATGTGATCAAAGCTACGCTTTTTGGTTAGGCCAGTTCTTTAGGAAGATTATTCTGGGATCAGTGTAGAGGGTTGATTGGAAGAAGGAGAAAGAAAATTACAGAAACCAGTTGGCGTATTTAGACCAGGTGAGAAGTAATGAGAAAATGGCAATGAGAATGGAAAATAGGTAACATGAGAGATGTTGAGGAAGTCCATTGCTCAAGCAGCAGAGGTCAGAAAATGTGTTCAAGTGTCTCTCTACCGAGAGACCGATTCATCTCTCTAAAGAGTTCTTTCCCCCTTAAGATGTTTACTAGAATCAGGGGTCTGAAAACTTTTGAGATGTGGGAAAAAGGGGGGGCGAGGTAAAAGCAAGGAATGTCTAAACACATATTTAATATTTATAATGGTATTTTTAAAAATTTCTGTTCTAATGTTTTTCTTTTTTGCTTCTCTTGTTTTAAATAACACTAGAAGTTAGAGCACCTGTTTTATGTCCTTATTTGTAGAATTTATGGTGCTTATTTCTTCCTTTAGGATACCATTGAAGCTGAGCTTACAAAGAAAGTAAATATGATGGAACTGTGACCTGGGTCCAGTAAGCTTCATCTTCCCTAACAGAGTAAATTGAATAGGACTTGAAACAATTGTCTTTAATAGTTTAACTCCTGTGTTCTTGGATGCGATAATAATGTCGCTGTTGATGGAACAGTGGTTTCTGGTTGTGTATTGCATTTCTGTGCCCAAGTACACAGTTTTCATATCACAAAGCGTTGTGGGATTTCTATGTTGCTGACAGTTAAGTGTCCCTCACTGGGTCTCTTTGGTGAACATTATGACAGTTGTCACGCAGTCACTCATGAGGCCAGCTAGGTAAAGAGTTCTGTAACGCAGTTATTTTTCTCCCTCCTCCTCCCACTAGGATTTTGCTGCCATTCCTTGTGATCTGACCTGCTTGCCTTCAGTTGTTAATATATGCAGGAATTTAGTTTATGAAAGGGACTACTACCTTTTAAATCAGTAGTGGAGAGATAGATAATTCAACCCTTGGTGCTATATCCTTACTTCATGCCTTACAGCAAGATAATCCCAAGGATCAAAGATTTAAATGTTAAAAAAAAAAAAGATAGTAAGAGAAACTGGGGAGAAGATTTAATGTTTTGACTTTTAAATAATTATAGGGTCAGTAACAGAGGACCCAAATCCAGGAGCTGTAAATGAAATGATAGAAATATTTGAAAATTTGGATTAAAAATTCCTACATGACAAAATCTTTCATAAGTAAAATCAAAGGCCATTACAATTGTGGTATAGGGAAAAAGAAGAAATTTTGCATTGTGTTCCTTTTTGTACTTTGAAAAATTTTGTACTATGTGATTAAGAAACAACCAGTTAAATTTTTAAAAAAGAAGAAAATGAAACAATGAGGGGTTTTTTTTTTGCAATCAGTTTTTTTAAAGATTAGCTATATGACCTTAAAAATGTCCTCCTCCTTTCCCACAAATATGTGGAAATGCAAAATACTAAAGATACTATATTTTCTTTTTTGAAAACTGTCCATATTATTTAGCCATGTAGGTATAGTGATATTGTCTTTATCTTAACAATTTATAGGAGCCCCTTGTGTATTAGCTAAGTTAATCTTTTGTGATTTGCATTGTAAATATTTTTCCCAAGTTTGTCATTTGTCTTTTGACTTAATTCCAGTGTTTTTGGTAAGGCAGCTTGGATTGATTGTGGAAATGATAATCCCTCCTATCCCTGGGCACTCACCCTTTGTGTGGTGACTCTGCCACTTCTCCCATCCAGAGATGAAGTCTGTATCTCCACCTCTTCTATTGCCTTGGCCTTGTGATTTGTTTTAGACAATTAGACAACAGCAAATGTAACAGAAGCAGGGGATTAAAAACTGTGTGTTAGAGCTTGCCCTGTCTTGTGGCTCTGGAATTCTGAAACCACTGTGCAAAGAAGGTTGAACTGTTGGAGGATGAAAAACTACATGGATGAGAAACAAGTAATTCCAGCCAAGCCCCGCCCGCACCCAAGACCAAGCCAGCTGCCAACTGCCAACAATCTGAATGGGGTCTTGGACTGTCTAGCCCCAGTCAAGCCACAAGCAGGCTACAGAGATCAACCTGGCTTGGGCCAGAAGTCCACGCAGTCAACCCAAAGTATCATAAGAAATAATAAATGATTATTATTTGAAGCTTATTTTGAGTTCTGGGCTGATTGTTAGCTGCAGTAGCTAATTGATAAAAGTAGCTTGTGAAATTAATGTTCAAAGTAAAAGGAGAGTAAAAATATGCACTGTAAGAATCAAAGAAACTTTGGACCAGCATAATTTTATTAAGCAGTAATTACATTATTATTTTTATTTTTTTTAATATTTATTTATTTTTGAGAGAGATAGAGAGCACGAGCATGGGAGGGACGGAGAGAGGAGGGAGACACGAAATCCAAAGCAGGCTTCAGGCTTTGAGCTGTCACCACAGATCATGACCTGAGCCAAAGTTGGATACTTAACTGACTGAGCCACCCAGATGCCCCTAATTGTTTTGTTAATGTTTATTTATTTTTGAGAGAGAAAGGGAGACAGAGCATGAGCAGGGGAGAGACAGAGAGAGAGGGTGACACAGAATCTGAAGCAGGCTCTGAGCTGTCAGCACAGAGCCCAACATGGGGCTCGAACTCAAAAACCATGAGATCATGACCTGAACTGAAGTTGGATGCTTAAAACAACTGAGCCACCGGGGCACCCCTAACAGTAATTATATTAAATTTAAGTGAGAAAAATGTTCTAGTTAAAAGATAAAGATCAAAAGAAGAGGTTTTAAGAAAAACTTCTAAGTGTATGCTACATGTGAGAGAACTTTCGATCCACAAGAACAGTACACTACATACTTCTCAGTAAATGATAGAACAGGAAGAAAGACATTAGCAAGTATACAGAGTGTTTAAACGACACGATTTACAACTTGATCCATTGGACATATGCAGAATCCTATACCTGACTGCCACAGGATACATGTTCTTTGCAGGTGCACCCAGAAAACTTACAACAGTTATTCAGGGGCTCCTTTTGGCTCAGTTGGTAGAACATGTGACTCCTGAGCTCAGTCATGAGTTCAAACTTGGAGATTGGGCATGGAGCTTACCTAAAAAAAAAAACAATTGTCCCAAAAGTGGGCAGTAAAGGAAATCTCAACCACTACAAAAGCACTGAAATCCTATGTAGCATGTTCTCTCATCACAATGCAATTAGATAAAAATAAGTAACTAAGAAGTCGTATGTTTGGAATTTAAGAAAAACATTCTAAATAACCTGTGCATTGGGGCACCTGGGTGGTTCAGTCGGTTAAGCATCCGACTTCGGCTCAGGTCATGATCTCGCGGTTCGTGGGTTCGAGCCCTGCATCGGGCTCTGTGCTGACAGCTAGCTCAGAGCCTGAAGCCTGCTTCAGATTCTGTGTCTCCCCCTCTCTCTGACCCTCCCCTGCTCACACTGTCTCTCTTTCTCAGAAATAAATAAAACATTTAAAAATTTATGCATCGAACAATAATATGAATTAGAAAATGTTTTGAACTGAGCAATAATGAAAACTCTATAATCAGAACACGGATTTCTGCTTTTGACCCAGGTAGAGAAAAGTGATCAGATTGACTGCCTTGTTTTACACAGGAAAACAAACAAACAATAGGAAACGATAGTCTTCAGATATTGAATAGCAAGGAAGCACAGGACATTCATTCCTAAGACAAGAGAAAAAAACAAGGTGAGTCCTGTGATCACCCCAGCTTACTACATGGAGACAGATAAAACTGGCTAACTTGTGTTTCGGGACACCTGGGTGGCTCAATCGATTGAACGTCTGATTCTTGATTTTGGTTCAGGTCATGATGCCAGGGTCAAGGGATCGAGTCCCATGTAAGGCTCCATGCTGGGCCTAGAGCCTGCTTAAGATATTCTCTTTTCCTGGTGGCAGGTGGGGGTGGAAATGGATGATGGGCATTGAGATGGGCGCTTGTTGGGATGAGTACTGGGTGTTCTATGCAAGTGATGAATCATGGGAATCTACTCCTGAAACCAAGAGCACACTGTACACACTGTATGTTAGCTAACTTGACAGTAAATTGTATTTAGAAGAAAAATAAATAAGCAGTAGGTGTATCTGGAAAAAAAAAAGTTGTGTATATAATTACAATTTTGTGAAAACATTTACTGTGGCTTAACTTTTCATCAAGACTACAGAATGTAGGGGCACCTGGGTGGCTCAGTCGGTTAAGCGTCTGACTTCAGCTCAGGTCATGATCTCACAGTTTGTGGGTTCAAGCCCCGCATTGGGCTCTTTGCTGACAGCCTGCTTCAGATTCTGTGTCTCCCTCTCTCTCTGACCTTCCCCTGCTCATGCTGTCTCTCTCTCTCAAAAATAAATAAAACATTAATTTTTTTTTAAAAAGACTACAGAATGTAATAAATTCTCAGTTTATTTTGTGCAAGAACTTCTGTTACAAGAAGATGATGAATGAAGGTCTAAAAAAAAACATTGCCTCTTTCTGCTGCTCATATTCTCTCCCCCCACCCCTGTAAAACAAAAAAATAAATAAGAAAGAACTAGATCTTCAAAAGAAAATTCTGTGTTTCAAAAGATACCATTAAGAAAGTAAATATGAGTGCTTGGCTGGCTCGGTTGGTGGAGCCTGCAACTTTTGATATTAGAGTTATAAGTTTGGGCCCCATGTTGGCTGTAAAGATTACTTAAAAATAAAATATTTTTTTAAAAAAGTGATATAGACAATCTGTACAGTGGGGGGAAATATTGGCACATCATATATCTGATAAGGTACTTGAATCCAGAATCTGTAGAAGCTATTACAACTCAATAATAAAAGGTGGGACGCCTGGGTGGCTTAGTCGGTTAAGCATCTGACTCGACTTCAGCTCCAGTCATGATCTCACAGTTCATGACTTCATGTCCCTCGTTGGGCTCTGCCCTGACAGTGCAGAGCCTGGTTGAGGTTTTCTCTCTCTCCCTCACTCTCTACCACTCCCCTATGCTTTCTCTCTCTCTCTCTCTCTCAAAATAAATAAATGGACTTAAAAAAATAAAAGGCAAAAAATCCAATTTAAAAAATGAGGGGCGCCTGGGTGGCTTAGTCGGTTAAGCGTCCGACTTTCGCTTAGGTCATGATCTCGCGGTTCGTGGGTTCGAGCCCCGCGTCGGGCTCTGTGCTGACTGCCAGCTCGGAGCCTGGAGCCTGTTTCAGAGTCTGTCACTCCCTCTCTCTCTGATCCTCCCCTGCTCGCGCTGTCTTTCTCTCTCTCCTTGAAATAAATAAAAAACATTTAAAAATTTTAAAAAAAAATGAGTAACCTATTTGAATTGACATTTCTCCAGTGAAGATGTACAAATGCCCAAATTAGCACATGAAAAGATGCTTGACATCATTATGGGGGAAATAAAAATCAAAACCACAGTAAGCTATACTATCTCTTGCTCATTAAGCTGGCTAGGATAAAAAGTTACAAGTGTTGGTGAAGATGTGGACAAATTGGAACCCTCCTACACTAATGGTAGGAAGAAAATGGTACAGTTGTTTCAGAAAACGGTTTGGCAGGGTCTCAAATGATTAAATATAAAGCTACTATACGACCCAGAAATTCAACTCCTAAGTATATACCCAAAAGAAATGAGAACATATGTTCACACAAAAGCTTATACGTGAATGTTTGTATAAACATTATTCATAACAACACAAATGCCCACCAACTGATGAGTGGACAAACAAAATATGTTGTATCCTTACAATGGTACATTATACAGCCACAAAAAGGAATGAAATACCAATACATGCTACACCATGGATGACCCTTGAAAGCATTGTGGTAACTGAAAGAAGACAGTCACAAAAGACCACATGTAATAGGATTCTATTCATATGAAATGTCCAGGGATAGAAAGTAAATTGATGGTGCTTAGAGCTGGCAGGATGAGAGACATGGGGTGATAGATAGCTAAGGGTACAGTGTACCTTTTGAGGTAATGGTTGCACATATCTGTGAATATATGGTGAAATATATATATGGTGAAAACCATTGAAGTACATACTTTTTTTTTTTAAGTTTATTTTTGAGAGAGAAAGAGTGCAAGCGGGGGAAGGGCAAAGAAAAGGGGACAGAAGATCTGAAGCGGTCCCTGCACTGATAGCCACAAGCCCAATGTGGGGCTCGAATTCATGAACTGTGAGATCATGACCTGCGCCAAAGTCAGATACTCAAGGTGCCACACAGGCACCCCCAATTATATACTTTAAATGGGTGAATTGTATGGTATGTGAATAATATCTCAATAAAGTTGTTGAAGAAAAGGTATGCAGATTAAAGAGGAAGAAGCAGAGCTGTTTCTATTGCAGATGAAGTAGTGAAGTGAGCATCCATCCCTGGAAGTGGATGTGTGGTGTGGGCAAGCAGGTACCCAGAGCAGCCCAGAATTAAACTTTTGTTCTAATCCCATTTCCAGGTCTCTAGCCTGCATATTTTTTGGAAACATCAAATATACCCATATAGATGTGGGTTGGGGGGCAGTATGTGAGCCTCTGTTTTTTGTCTCTAATTCTGACCCTTGGACTTCATGTCTATCTATAGAGAACCACTGCTGCACCCCTAAATACCCCCCTAAATTGATCTCTTAAATACAGAGACCTGCTTAGATAATCACAGTGAAATGATCAAATTCAGAAATTTTAACGTTGATAAAATATTACTATCTAATATTTGGTACAGACTCAAATTTCTCCAGTTGTCTGAATAACATGCCTCATGGGTAAGAGGATGGGTGAAATAAATAAAGGGGATTAAGAGATACAAACTTCCAGTTACAAAATAAATAAGGCACAGAGGTGCAAAGTGCAGCATAAGGAATATAATCAATACGATTGTAAAAATGTTTGATGACAGATGATGACTGACTGCACTTACCTGTGAGCACCGAATAATGTATAGAACTGTTGAATCGTTATGTTTTACACCTGAAATTAATATAATAACACTTAATTATTCTTCAGTTTTTTTTTTTTTATTTGTTTTGAGAGAGGGAGCGGCAGAGAGAGGAAGAGAGAAAATCCCAGACTCTGTGCTGTCAGCGCAGAGCCCAATGCAGGGCTCAAACTCATGAACCGCAAGATCATGACCTGAGCCAAAATCGAGTTGGACA